GCAAAATTAAGATCACAAGAAATCACAAGAATATATGCTGGCCAGTGTTTTCCGGCAAAGAAACACTGATTTTGAGAGTCGAGAATCGATCTGGGGTCGGTTTTTTACTCACACTGACTTTCAGCCGGCACCAAAGGGTTGGATTCCCAGAGCAGGTCTTGGTTGCCAAAGTGCTAAGAGAACTGGTTACCACTAATTAATTGGATAGGCGGGTACCCCCATTGTACAGCGGGTTAATTTTTGGCCAAATGTGCGAAAGTATGCGACAATTCTATTCAGAATTGGCCTTTCTATTTCATCAAAATTGCCCAGAAAGACACTATAGATTGTAACTCAAACTTTGGCCGGTTATATCTTGGTTGTTTCTGATGTCCCACGTATGTTGCTGAAGTCAGCGATGGTTCACTTCGCCCCAGCCGATCAAGTCGCGGGTACATGAGTTCTTCAATCTTTACCACACCAAATTCTGATTGATATACCAAGATATCCTAATCATAACCATATAAAAAGCATTCAGAAAGGTTAGGGATATTCAGAAAAATTATCCAGTTCTTATCCAGTTCAGATGATCCAAGATGATCTAAGATTCTCATCCACCCAACCCGGTTGCATTTTTCTACAAATGACTCATGGCTCCCCTCATGGCTCCCCTCATGGCTCCCCCCCATTCGCCGCAGGCTACATAGGCTACATGACCTGCTGAAGACCAGCGTCATGGTTTCTACGCGAGATCCAATGGAGGTGGTGGTTGGATGTTTGACATGGTTTGACCGAACAACTCAATGATGGTAAAAAGTCACTTAATACATAAAATGGGAAAGCATCCCACTAAAAAATTGATGAAGAGGTATATTAATAGACAAAAAATAGTAAACCAATAGGATTAGTTAGTTTACATTAATTTACACAGAAACCTACAACCGTTCAATGGTTTGTTTCAAGATTATTCAAGGTAAAATCCAAACGGGAACCCATTTTTTTCCTATGAAACATTGGGATGTGTAAAAAAAATCCTTAGACCGATCCAATTGACAAACATTGGAGTCTTAAACACTAGAGACATTGAGAAGGAGGCCCAATTCCAACGGATGGTCGAATCAGTACTGTTGACATAGCTATTTGATACAGGACCTGGGTGACCTGTATCATGTTTTGAGCCAAAACTCACTACTGGTTGGTGGTTTCAAGATTTTGTTTTCCATAATAATATATGGGGTAATCCTTCCCATTGACTTTCAGATTTTTCAAGATGATTAAAACCACGAACCAGCACTCATATTCCTGAGATGTTGTTAATACAGATACTACGTATATGTAGACTTCGTTGTTGTTCGATGCCGCAACGGGGGCCGGCGTTTGTCTACACAATTCGTAATTCACCAAGTGACCGCTAAATCCAAGGACCACCCTCTCTTTCGCGCAGACATTTTGCAGCCAACCACGGCTGTCAGTAGTTTGGCTCGGCGTGCCAGGCACGGGATTTGTTCGTTTGATCCAATGTTTGGCTACATCTCCTAGTATAGATATCGCCAATACCTGCTTCATTAAAATTTTACAAGGCAAATCACAGGCCGTGATTGTTCAAGGACACAAAAAGCCAACAGTTCTGCTTGTTCGTGCACTCCGTGGCATTTCGTGCGCCGGGGACAATCGCGCCACGAGTGCGTCGATGAAATCGTAGCGAGCTCCAGAAAAATGTCCAGCCGAATGCAGGTGAGCCAAGGGCGGATCTCTCGAAGAACCCACATAGGGGGTTTCCATAAATGGGGTACCCCTAAATCATCCATTTATAGATGGATTTTCCCTTATAAACCATCCACCTATTCGGGTATCATCATTTATGGAAACCTCCACATCATCCTAAATCCGAAATAATTCATAGTCAGCAGTGACCCGCGTTGTGATTCATGATTCATGACTTATTTTATGGGCTTGTTACCGGATTGTTGCATGTTATTGATTGTTACTTGCTACGCAGTATGTTTTTTTTTAATATAGGTTGTATAGTTTTGTGCATGTGTACACATGTCCTCAGCTCGGATTCTGGGGTTGAATCGCTTGAACTCATGACTTGCACAGACTTTCTGAATGGGCGGGAATATGATCCAAACATTGTAATTGGTGTCGTTTCCAGCCGTGTTTATGCACAAAATTAGAGGACCGGATAACCCCACAAGGCAACTTCTTCCAATAATGAGCACCAAATGTTGTAGCTGGGACGGGGAAGGAAGGAAAGACAAAGGAGGTGGTGGAGGATCGAGAAGAAAAACAAAGTTGTGTGTGACAAGGTTGTATGTGAAAAGATGGTGTGTGACAAAGAAAGATGGTGTGTGTGACAAAGTTGTGTGTGAAAGATGGTGTGTGTGTGTGTGTGAAAGTTGTGTGTGAAAGAGAGCGTGTGACAAAGTTGTGTGTGAAAGATGGTGTGTGAAAGATGGTGTGGCGAAAGATGGTGTGTGACAAAGTTGTGTGTGAAAGCTGGTGTGGTGAAAGATGGTGTGTGACAAAGTTGCCTGTGAAAGATGGTGTGGTGAAAGATGGTGTGTGACAAAGTGGGGTGTGAAGGATGGTGTGCGAAAGATGGTGTGTGACAAAGTGGTGTGTGAAAGATGGTGTGTGACAAAGTGGTGTGTGAAAGATGGTGTGTGACAAAGATGGTGTGTCAGAGATGGTGCGTGACAAAGTGGTGTGTGAAAGATGGTGTGAAAGATGGTGTGCGAAAGATGGTGTGTGACAAAGATGGTGTGTGACAAAGATGGTGTGTGAAAGATGGTGTGTGAAAGATGGTGTGTGACACAGGTGGTGTGTGAAAGAGGGTGTGTGACAAAGTGGTGTGTGAAAGATGGTGTGTGACAAAGCGGTGTGTCAAAGAGGGTGTGTGGCAAAGTTGTGTGTGAAAGATGGTGGGTGACAAAGTGGTGTGTGAAAGATGGTGTGTCACAGATGGTGGGTGACAACGTGGTGTGAAAGATGGTGTGTGACAAAGTTGGGTGTGAAAGATGGTGTGTGAAAGGTGGTGTGTGAAAGATGGTGAGTGAGTTGGTGTGAGAAAGATGGTATATGACAAAGTTGCCGCGCGTTCCACGCCAAACGCAAGTAAATGTCTCCAAGTGCCACACCTGCTGCGCAAAACGAAGGTGGATGTCACCAAGTGCCACGCTTGCCACGCAAAGTGGCGCGGCGCCCCTGGCGACAAATCCGGACCAAGCGCGCCACACAGTACCATGAGTGCCACGCCTGCCACGCAAAACGACGGTGGATGTGAGTTAGTGCCACGCCTGCCACGTGATACGAAGGTGGATGTCACCAAGTGCCACGCCTGCCACGCAAAGTGGCACGGCGCCCCTGGCGACAAATCCGGACCAAGCGCGCCACACAGTACCATGAGTGCCACGCCTGCCACGCAAAACGACGGTGGATGTGAGTTAGTGCCACGCCTGCCACTTGAAACGAAGGTGGATGTCACCAAGTGCCACGCCTGCCACGCAAAGTGCCGCGGCGCCCCTGGCGACAAATCCGGACCAAGCGCGCCACACAGTACCATGAGTGCCACGCCTGCCACGCAAAACGACGGTGGATGTGAGTTTGTGCCACGCCTGCCACGTGAAACGAAGGTGGATGTCAGGTTGTGCCACGCCTGCCACGCAAAGTGCCGCGGCGTCACAGGCGCCAAATCCCGGCCCAAGCGCGCCACCCAGTACCATAAGTGCCACGGCTGCCACGCAAAACGACGGTAGATGTGAGTTTGTGCCACGCTTGCCACGTGAAACGAAGGTGGATGTCAGGTTGTGCCACGCCTGCCACGCAAAGTGCCGCGGCGTCACAGGCGCCAAATCCCCGCCCAAGCGCGCCACGTAGTACCATAAGTGCCACGCCTGCCACGCAAAACGACGGTGGATGTGAGTTTGTGCCACGCCTGCCACGTGAAACGAAGGTGGATGTCACCAAGTGCCACGCCTGCCACGCAAAGTGGCACGGCGCCCCTGGCGACAAATCCGGACCAAGCGCGCCACACAGTACCATGAGTGCCACGCCTGCCACGCAAAACGACGGCACATGTGAGTTTGTGTGTGTGTGTTGTGTGTGTTTTGTTGTGTGTGTGTCTGTGTGTTTGTGTGTGGTGTGTGTTGTGTGTGTGTGTCTGTGTGTGTGTGTCTGTGTGGTGTGTTGTTGTGTGTTGTTGTGTGGTGTGTTGTTGTGTGTTTGTGTGTGTGTTTGTGTGTGTGTGTTGTTGTGTGTGTTGTTGTGTGTGTGTGTTGTTGTGTGTTTGTGTGTGTGTTGTTGTGTGTTTGTGTGTGTGTGTTGTTGTGTGTGTGTTGTGTGTGTGTTGTTGTGTGTGTGTGTGTTGTTGTGTGTGTGTTGTGTGTGTGTTGTTGTGTGTGTGTTGTTGTGTGTTTTGTTGTTGTGTGTGTGTGTTGTTGTGTGTTTTGTTGTGTTGTGTGTGTGTTGTTGTGACGGAGGCGGCCGGAGGAGGAGGAGAAGGAGAAGCCCGGGATACAGAATCAAAAACAAGAACCCCACACAAAGATGTGGGGAAAAACAGATCTTTTTGTTTATCATCCTCTACATATGAGGACATGCTTGGAATTCAAATTCGTCCCAACACTTTTCCTTGCACAGAAAGTTTGTACACCTTTATAACTATATAACGGATACCGTTTTCCATACTATAAATATTCTATTGTCACATTATGAGAACTAATACAGATGCGAACCATAATATAGATACTATATTATTTATGGATACTAATGTAGATACTATTGTAGATACTTTCAGATTCTAACAGATACTTAGATAGATACTAATAGGATACTAAAAGTACTATCTATGAGAAACCAATACGTAAAATTTACACATAAATCATACAACTAATACAAACAAAATATACATAAACCTAATACATGTAACTAAGACATATAACTAATACATAAAACTAATGTAATATGACTGATACATATAACACTCCGAGTTCATATGATTCTATGGTCACATGCCGCAGGAGAAATCCAAGAAATGGTATGAGTTCCTGACGTCGCTCATGGCCATCTTGGGCGGGACCCTGGAGCTGAGAGCTTCACTGAATATGAAGCCATGACACGTGGGGAATTCACCAAGGAACATGGGGATTTGACCATGAAACATGGGATTTTCAGGGATTCAATAGGGATTTGACCATGAAACATGGGATTTGTTTATGGATTCACCTATCAAACATAGCAGTGCAAGCAAGAAAACATGGGAAATGAACCACCAATCCTAGGCATTTAAGCAAGAGTTGACATCGGTTTTTCCCATTCTCCGAGCAATTGAAATACCTGCAATATGAAACTCAAAATGAATAGGTTCAATATCATCCAATACTCAACCAGAGTTTCGATCGGAGGGTGCTTAGTATGCGAGGAAGAGATTAGTACATACACTCCAATGGGGTTATCCTACACTGTATGTATGTATATATATATACATACATGCATAATTTTAATAGTAACAATAGTAATAATATAAAGAATCACCTACAATAGTCATAGTCATAATATTAATAGTAGTATAGTCATACTGATGTCCAACGAGTTAGGTTTGCCGCTTAGAGATTCAACTAGCCCCAAAGTCGACCCCGGCTGTTGGTGGTTAACAAGGGGGTTGAAATCTCAAGAAATCGAGCCTTGAAACCATGGAAAGTGATCACTGAAGATCACCCTCTAGTAAACGTTTACAGAAAACTACGGAAAATCACGATGTTTATTGGGTAAATCAACTATAATGGGCAATTTTCAATATATAGCTATGTTCGTTTTCCAGATGGTAATTGGTAATGTATTTTTCCCCACAATTCTTCATCCCAAATGGATAGCCGAAATGACCAAAACGACCAGCCACAAATAGAAATTGTGGGTCAACAAAAAGGTCTCCTGATGCCTTCATTTCATGTGTACAGGAATCGCAAGTGGTTTATAGCCCACTGATACAATAACAATATGATATAATACAATATAATATAAATTGATATGATATGATATTATATAATATAATTAATACAACATTATACATATTATCCACGCGTAACCCATTACATATGTCAAATTGTCACGTGCTCCTGCACAACATGTTTCTGTTCCCCGCAGGCCTGAGCCATCTGTCCAGTATAGGCACAACAATACAGACGTGTGCACAGCCACCGCAGAGACAAAAGGATCCAACACCTGCACAGGAAGTACAACATTGTCACAACAAGTCAGCTGAGCTACCTTGTGATTTTACATGGTAGCGGAGCTCTGCCTTACCAGGGGCATCTCCAAGCAACAGCAGTAAACAACAGGCAGAGGGCTTGATCCCAGAACACGGGGGGACTCTCAACAATACTGCATACAACACACCAACGAGAATCCAGCAGACATTTTCACCAAATACATATCAACAGAAACACTCCACAGACACCTGCAGGCAGCTGGGCTCAACACCCACCAAAACATCCACTACTGAGTGGAGGCAGCAACAGCAACAACAGTTTCACCAGCAGCTTGTAACAAGCAAGTCTATGTAACCGTGCGTGCGCGTGTACAGCAACGATGTGAGCAAACATTGCACACACAAACGCACACGGGCGATACAGCCATGGTTCAGCGAAGTTTGACCACATCTCGTGTTTCGTTTCAACCTGTATTTCAACGAGATTTTTTTGATTTTCAACACAGAGATCTACATGCATGTTGAACCCTGAATTTGTCAACATGTTGTCTTACTCAACATGTCAGTTTCAAGTCCGGCATTTGCCAACAGATAGTTGGCGACATGACGTTTCATTTCGTGTTCTCCGCAGTCTTTTTTTTGGTCTCAACCATCACGGCCAACAAGTGTTGGTGGCACCATCAGCACCAACTATGGCGGGACTTCTCACAAAGTTTCCCAACTCTGAGGTGAAGATCTCAGCACATGAGATCACAACACCTCTCCATGTCTTGACCATGCGCAAAGGGATGGAGGATCTTTCAGTTGAGAAGAGTGACCCTGAGAGCCATCAACAGCAGCTGCGTTCCAACAACAAGTTAGCGCTTTGGGTGGCCATCACCCGGGAAGAGCTAAACAACATCCGTGATCAGACAACATCCGATGTACGGGTGCAGTCTCTTCACGGAAGACAGCGTCTTCCAAGGTGGGACAAACTTGTTTTCAACACAACCCCGGCGGGAGCCATGTGCACCTGGTATTACCATTCAACGGAACAGCACCTTGGAACTTTCAACAAGAAGGAGCTGATTCTCCTCAGTTGGGAGCCGGAGCAAATCCAACATGCTAAGCGTCTTTCCTCAGGAACTTTGACAAGTTTCTCACCGGGCTACTGCTTTCCGCAGTTTCAGCTCGACGCAGGGCATGTGTACAACATGACCAAGTATGAGTATGAGAGCCAACAGTCGTGGATTGTTTTCAGCAGTGATCAGCTGAGCATCAACCACTGCATTGGCACTTGCTACTCTTGGTCAAAGACATGGGCATGGGACTACAACGTACCCATCAACCTGGCAGAGATCAAAGACACCAGCCATGTTCAGTGGCCAGCAGCACTGCAGGCCTTGTGGTACAGTGGGTTGCAGTGTCTGGATAGTATGGACGGAGCGGTGAGCAGCCAGATCAAAGGTCTTCTGCTGCAACATCACCCTCTGTTCAAAGGGCCGAACCCTGTCTCCTGGATCAGCTACAACGGCATCAAGACAGCCGACCGGCTGCGCGGCACAGACGCCGTCATTGCCTGGGCAGACACTATGGATGTCCAGGAGTACATGGAAGAGATCAAATGAGATCAACAAATGGCGAGCGGATCCAACAAGTGGCAATGACGATGCGGAGATGCCGGGTGGCGCAGGAGATGAGGTGGCCCACACCAAGTGACCGATAATGATGCTGATGCCAAGATCTATCTCAACACTAGAAGAGCGCAACAGTGAGAGGGATCTGAGGCAAAAGCCAACACAGCTGGTAAACAACTTCGAGTTCAGCTAGATAGGTGTACACTAGCAATAGACAACACCTTCTTTCGATGCTGCATGAGTGTAAAGTTCATAGCGTTTCCCAACATTATAGCCATCTAATCGTTTGGGCACAACAATTTATGATGACGACTGTTGGATGAGATATCCAACATTCGAGGGGCCGTGTCAAATTGTCACGTGCTCCTGCACAACATGTTTCTGTTCCCCGCAGGCCTTGAGCCATCTGTCCAGTATAGGCACAACAATACAGACGTGTGCGCAGCCACCGCAGAGACAAAAGGATCCAACACCTGCACAGGAAGTACAACATTTGTCACAACAACTCAGCTGAGCTACCTTGCGATTTTACAACATAATGCAGATTCAACCATGTATATTTATTGTAGTCCATACCCATTTGAATAGTCCATACCCATTTGAAAATGTTATATATAGTATAAGCCAGTTGTACATGTGCTATACACGCGTTGTTTCAGTAACATATTCATCTCATAGGATCGGTCTACGGGAAAATTTACAGCATACACTTCCAATTGGTGGCAAAACCATGGTTTCCTGTAGACTCACTGTAGACTCCCATTAACCAATCCATTGAAAGGTTGTAGGTGTCCAAGTAGATTAACTAATCCTATTTGCGAACCATTGTATTTTGATATCTCAGAAATTATTGTAATATTGGTTATTACCCTTTTCATATATATATATCCCATCAAATATGTGCATTGCATCACCATATCATCACCATAAAATCCTTATGTCTACCATTCAATTGTCATACATACATCGGTTATATTTAAACACCATTAAATCACCACTCATTGTCAGCAATGTTTAATATACTGGAATATAGTGCCATTAAATGCCATAAAAGGATCAACAAATCACCATGTTCGAGTGCCAATAAATGGTCATGTTTAATATGTTTAATGTGATATGTTAATATACTATTAGTATCGTATTGTTGGTTAGTTGTACCTCTTAAAGATTAACATACTGCGAGTGATATATATATATGGCACCCCCCTGGTACCTACCTTTTCTGTACGTTCATTGGTATTTACATGTATTTACGTGGTTTTGTGACTGAATATATATATGTATATACATATATGTACATATATATATATATATACAAAACCATGTAAATACATACATGTATAGTAAATGAGTGGTTTTATGCCAAAATATGGTTTTATGCCATTACATATATATATATATCACCATTCAAAAAACTTCTTCATCACCTCAAAACCAAAACCCAAACGGATCGTGCAGGACCTTCACCATCGTGGAACTCACCAGCGGAGCCGTGGAGACGGTCGGAAAATCCCATGGGGCCATGGCAACTTTTCGGACACCTCCAATGGGAAATATCTATGGGAAGTCCTAAAAGAAAATGGATGATAAATGAGGATAGCAAATATATATATATATATATTTAACATATCACACTTTAAAGATCTTTAGAATTTTAAAGACAGTAAGATATCTTAATATCGGAAAATAAACTAGAATTAAAGAACACATAGTGTAAGACTATACATTAAAATAATGTAGCCTCAATTCTTGTTTGATCGTGGATATACTTATGACATAATCCCATATTGTGTTAAAGTGGTGAAAAAACGGGACAGCTGGGGGCAAGACTGTCCACCAGGTAACTTGCTGGATCGGGGGAAAAACAACTCTTTGGGCATAGGACAGGGCTCGTTTATAGGTGAACCTGTTGGTTTTGGTTCGAATCTATCTATATCTATCTATCCATTTATAAACATGTTGCTCGAAATCAGTGACTGTTTGACAGAAACGTTGGATCACTGTCACTCAACGATGGACCAAAACCCAAAAACCACACCTCAGGATCAATAATGAACATCCATTTACAAGCTATTTTGGATTATGGGGTGAACAGAAGGGTGAAACGACATTTCTTGGTGACTCGCCAGCCCAAGGTGGGCACGGCTGTGAAAGACGCCTTGGGCAAGAAGAACTAGTGGCACCAGTTGGCCGTGAATGGTTGCCATCCCAGCGTCCAATGTGATGAAAATAAGTCATTAATAGACATGTAACGATACGTAACATATACATATGTTTCATGTTATATAATGTAAACATATGTCATATGTATTGTATTATATGCACACATGTAAATTTACAGAAGTTTAGCAATGGGTTTACCACATGGTATGGTGCATTAGATGTGTCATTTCATTGGCTAAATGAGATCGCAAACAAACTGAATATCATCTCAATGTAGTTCCTGTCCGTATGTGTTCACTATTCATATGGTTTGTTGTTATGATGGGATATGATGGGCCACATTTGCATATGTAACTCACCTCCACATACCTCCACCCGTTTTCACCAAAAAGAACTAGCGGTCAACCGGTGGTGACGCTGCGTCGGAGCCGCTGTGAAAGAGCGATGAACAGAGCAGCAGTGAACTGATCGAGCTCATGGAGTGTTGGATAGCAGGATAGCAAATATCGATGTAACATGATGTAAGCCACTTCTAGATGGGCTAAACCCAGTCGCATAGATACTGACGAAGAACCAGGGTCAATCAGCATCAATCAGCATTTTTGTTCTGCATCAATGAACCACTTCCTGCCTACGAATCTGACGTTCGCTGCTCCTGATAGACCAGCGCAGCAGGTGCTCGTGTCCGTCAAAAAATGCTGCGCTCTGGGTGGGTATGTCTGAATACCATTGAATACCTAGATCCATTCGTTAATCATAAATTTCCTTGCAAGCAATTATCGTTCTGGTGGTATAATTATCCCATTTCAGACGCACTCATGTCATACAATGTAAGGTCCATTCTGGGAGCTGCCACTGGTTGTTGCAATTGGCAGGAAATCCAGCAATTTTGGTTGTTTCATCTCTGGTTCTAAGGTGGATTATGACTTAAACAGCCATATTGGATCATATTTAGGGAATGGTCATACCACCATCAATATGTCACAATCGATAATTAGTAATTAGATTAAGGATGGTATCATCATGACTGACCAAAAAGTAGGATGACATTATATCGATGATATTACCATCATTGTAATACCACCAGCATACCTATGACATTTCATAATGACGGTCATTCGGATGGATTTGTCGATCTCCGAAATTCATCGCTCGAGCCGCCTCGAGCCACAACAAGCTCAAACACCTCCCGCGAAAGACATCGGCGCGTGTGCCGTGCCGTGAGGTCCGGAGATTGGGTAAACACCACGTCTTCATAAACCGTGTTCAATATGAAAGTAAAGCCAATAATAAACCATAAAACATTTTCAGGACCCAGAAATGGAGGTACTGTACCATATATATATATGTATATACTGTGTATATATATATATACATATTATGATTATTTATCTATATATTCAAGGCCATATTTTTGTGGGGTTAGGCCGTATGATAGGTAGCTCCAATAAATCGGTACCTGAAATGGCCATTGACACATGAGAAGTTTCCAAAACCCTGATGGGTTGGTAATGAGATTCACGACCCCTGATCGATTCGTTGTTTAATTGGGCTTAGCAATCATTTTAACAAGTCTGAACAATCATTTCGATATGCGAATATGATATGTATATATATATATAATTCAAAACTGATGGTTGGTTCATGACTATATACGGAGTATATAATATCCAATTGTTTGGGGATTTATTAGCTGAGAACCTCTATAAAAAGAATATGTTCACTAGGATCTTGTCTAGAAATGACTGATTTTCCAGTGCCATGTTTCATTACCAAAGAGTACCAATGGCGGTCACCAATTTGCTGGCTCAAGTTGAAATATAACTGCTTTAAAAAATCACTGATTACATCGATGTCAGAATAGGTGGTAACTGCAAGTATTCAATTGCACATGCTTTGTGTTGAGCGATACCATTTCAAACAATTATATCAATGATGGTCAAATTCTAGACTCACTAATAATAGCAATATGAATTACCCAAGATGTTTTACACACAAGTACATTCAATAGAATATGGAGAACCAATGTAAACGTTACTCTTGTTTTTCATGGGCTAATATAGCCTCCACATCGTGATGGGTCTGAGGCAGATTGTGAACCCTTCCCATCCCTAAAAGCATCAGGGCTAACAGCGGCTAACATGGCCAGGTGGCCAGGTGATCAATGGGAGATCTTCAGGATCCAACAGATGGAGGTACTACGGTAACTTAGTACCATATATTTTTCTGGGCCATATATATTTTGTGGTGATATTCATTGAAATTTAGGCCTGAGTTTTAGGCCTAACATATATGGTAGGTACCTCCATTTTAGGATCCTGAAGATCTCCCATTGAGGTTATGAGTCAAAACTGAACACTATGGCTTGAAACCAAGGTACCCTGAATGGTTCCCCAGTTGGGATAAGTGAGGATTAAATCCACTTATAGCTTGGGGTTTATAATCCAAATGTAATCCACTTAGTAAGCGGGATGAGCCACCAAGTAATCATCAATGTTCCATCATGTTCCCATACAGGATGGGGCCCCCAGTCGATAGCGTTCAGTTGTCTAAAAAAAGTGGATGAATTCTATGGTTTATGGTAGATATTAAACTCTAGTATTCATGGGGGTTAAAATATGTTATAATGGTTTATTGTGGTAGATATAACTATAACTATAGTATTCATGGGGATTATTTCATAGTTTATAAACAACATATACATCACTGGTGGGCCCCCTGTGTTTTTTTCAGTGAACCGACCTCTTTTCTGCGGGAAATACCGCGGGCTATTCAGGTCTGGGGAGGCTCACCGTTCACCGATTTTGGTATCCGTTGGAAGATGATGGGCCCCTTTATGGCAATGGATGGAATTCGGCATACACATGCATAAACATATCTACAGTATATAATGATATAATGATAACAATACTATATCTAATTATATTTCTATATAATATATCTATAATATAATCATTTATGTATCATTGCCCCAAGGCATAAACATATATCTATATGATTTTAATTAAGATCATGATATCATACTATAGTAATTCTGATAATAATTATGTTTATTATCATTTGTAATAATAGTACTATAATTCGGATATCTATATAATGATCATATTAAAAATTAAATCATAATAGTAATAATAATAGTAAATGAATATGTATAATATACATATATGATGTACCCGCAACTGGGTCATTAGGTCATAACATCCGCCAGCAAACCCTGATTTCATGCGATTTCATGTAGGAGTACTATATCTATGATCGTTTTATTCATACTCAGCAAAGCAGGGTCTAAAATAGTCTGGGGTTTCCAGTATACCTCCGTTAAAAGTCAATAATTAGACACCACACATGCTTCGGTCTTCATTCATCGAATATGTTTCAACATTTGCCATGCATGGAGCGTATCGGGTACATAACTAGCAGGATGGTGCCCCCCTATGTTTGTTGGTGTATAATCCCCTTTTGAGTGTAATTACTTATCTCCCGCTAACCAAGCCTAGTTCTTGGAGTTAATTAATGAATTGCACCAACCTAACTATCATAAATCAGCTCTAAATCCCATCAAAACCTTCATTTTTCTTGGTTAGATTCACACCCTATGGATCCAGCCGTATCTTTTTGTTGTGTTTGGGGTATGATGACTGCGGGGTTAGCCGTACCTTCTCAGACAGTGGCCATGGATCATTTTGGATCCGCACCAACTCGGCGATCCCGGGCCGTAGGAACGAGATGTCTTGGGGCGCCCCAGCAGAAATGGTGGGAAACCAACTGGATCGTATCAGCCTATTTCTGATGTGAATGCGGACATAACATATTTGTATATATATATACATACATTATAGATAGATAGATAGATAGATAGATAAATAGATAGATAGATAGATCGATAGATAGATATATACCTATATATATATACATAGATACATATAGATACATATATCACATAAATATATGTGTATTATATATACACATTTACAAATACACATATATAAATGCATATACAAACGATTAAATATATGTCTCCTAACCAGGAAAGCTGTGCATGTTCTTTGGGTTTCTAAGATGGGTCGAAATGTTTTGAGTTTTTGGATGATTTACCCAGAAACATCTCAAACTTGTGGATGTATCCCATAGATTTTCCATCTTGGTTCCTAGAAGGGTGTAGATGTGTATATATATATACATATATTTATATATACATAAAAATTGGGCATCCCAAAATTCAATATGGTACTGAAACTCCGTTTTTCGAAGCACGTGTTTAGACGTTAGTATGTGAAAATGATATTTTGGGATGATGATTCCCACAGGATGGGGCCCCCGGAATCGAGCGATGGCGTTCAGTTGCTATGATCTGCTATGGTTTATGCTAGATATTAAACTATAGTATTCATGGAGGTTATAATGGTTTATTATGGTAGACAGTATTCATGGGTGTTATTTTATGGTTTATAAACCAGCATATTCATCACTGGTGGGCCCCATCCTGCAGATTCCACAGATGGAAAGGGATGGCTGGACACGGATTCGCCAAAGAGCTGACATAGTGATAAGAATTCTTTGGAACAAAACCCTTGCATGTGTATATATATATACATATATTTATATATATATATATGAGAAATTCCAAAGTACGATACATTTTCTATGAGCCTCAAGTTGTCTCAAGCCCCCCAAAAACGGTAGTTGGACCTTTCAGAACATGTATTGTCTTACTTTTCCTGTGTAAAACCCACGGAATCTGTTCAAAGCTCACAGGGTATGTCGTTTGTTGCACTCTTGGAACCGGTTTTTTCGGATATGTCTGAAGATTGCTGGGCGTCAATCTCCAATTTTCAGACACACCCAAATATCACATGGTTGGCAATATATGCCATAATCTCCGATATATAACGGGAAACCAAAACCTTCCACTTAGTTACTGGTGTTCTTACCATATCCCATGTTATCCTCATATGTTCGTATTGATTTTTTTTCGTGGGTGCACCGGCAGCCAACAAGTAAGTCACCCTCTAACAGCCGAGGGAAACGATCCTGGGACAATGATTGGAAAGGAA